CAAACAACAATGATGGCTGCAACCAAAAAAAATAGCCGGGCATTGTGGCAGGCGCCTGTGGTCCCAGCTACTTGGGAAGCGGAGGCAGGACTCGCTTGAGCCCAGGAGTTGGAGGTTGCTGTGAGTTGTGATGCCACAGCACTCTACCCAAGGTGACAGCTTGAGGCTCTGTCTCAAAAAAAAAAAAACTTCTTCTCTGTGGTCCTTCTAGTTTTTTCTTAGCTTATTCTTGATATCATTTTCTGATTTCACCTGTTTTATCTGCCCCATTCATCAGACATGATCTTTTTACTTAATATCCTTTGAATTTTTGTGTGTGTGTGTGATAGTGTCCCTCTGTTGCCCAGGCTAGAAAGCCATGGCATGTGCCTGCCTCACAGCAACCTCAAACTCCTGGGTTCAAGTGATCCTCTTGCCTCAGCCTCCTAAATAGTTGGGACTACAGGCACCTGCCATAATGCCTGACTAATTTTTCTACTTTTAGTAGAGACCAGGTCTCACTCTTGCTCAAGCTGCTCTCCAACTCCTAAGCTGAAGTGACCCTCCCTCCCTGGCCTCCCGGAGTACTAGGATTACAGGCAGGAGACACTGTGTCTAGCTGACATTCTTTGATATTGAGGGATCATAGTGTAGACCAAGAATCTCTGTTGAGTCACCCTGGGCTTCTCTCCCTTAGTCACTTCCCCATCCTAGCCCTTTGTCCTCTATTCTTCCTTCTAGTCAAGAACCCTATTGAGGCAAGTGTCCTGTTGGCTGAAGCCTCACTGGCACGGAAACAGCGGAAAACACATACTACCTTTATTCCACTGATGCTGAATGAGATGCCACAGGTCGGGGACCTGGTGGGTCTGGATGCTGAATTTGTCACTCTTAATGAGGTAACCAAGATCAAAGGATGGGGTACTGGAACAGAACTCTGAAAATATTAGGAGTAGTAAGCATTTCTCTTATTCTCTTATTAACACTTATTATGTAGGAAGAAGCAGAGTTACGGAGTGATGGTACTAAGTCTACTATTAAACCAAGCCAGATGTCAGTAGCAAGAATTACTTGTGTTCGGGGGCAGGGACCCAATGAGGGTATCCCCTTCATTGATGACTACATCTCTACCCAGGAACAGGTATTATGATATGGAGGTGCAGTGACACAGATCCTGTGCTTATGTAGAGTGCTTAAGAACTCAGGGAACAGTGATAGGAGAGGATTCCACAGCTTCCTAAGTCCTTTTCTCTATTTCTAGGTGGTGGATTACTTAACTCAATACTCGGGGATAAAGCCTGGAGACCTGGATGCTAAAATTTCCTCCAAGCACCTTACAACTCTCAAGTCTACCTACTTAAAGCTTCGTTTTCTCATTGACATTGGAGTCAAATTTGTGGGTCATGGCCTGCAGAAGGACTTCCGGGTCATCAACCTCATGGTTTGAGCCAGTCCTCTTTTGAGGGTGGGCCCCTCGGGGTATATATTGTACTTTTGGAACATGGGAAATTATAAATCCTTTACCTTAAGTTTCCCACTCTTTTATTCCTGCCAGGTGCCCAAAGACCAAGTCCTCGACACTGTCTACCTGTTCCACATGCCCCGAAAACGAATGATTTCCTTGAGATTCCTTGCTTGGTACTTTCTGGGTGAGTTGCTCTGTCTTATAGGCCCGGTGGTGCATACTAAGAATATAAAAAGTATTGGAGAGGGCAGCACCTGTGGCTCAAGGAGTAGGGTGCCGACCCCATATACTGGAGGTGGCAGGTTCAGACCCAGCCTCTGCCAAAAACTGCAAAAAAAAAAAAAAAAATTACAGGTATGAACCACCTTGCCTGGCCTGTGTATTTCTTCTTTAAATTGATGATAGGGCTGGGTGCAGTGGTCCACA